GTGTCAGAGGCAATGAGATTGGCACAGGATAGAGCAGGGTTTAGGGCTGCTATACATAGGGTCGCTATGAGCCACAAATGACTTGACGGTACATAACAACAACAACAACAAGAGAGAGTGGAAGACTATAGGCTGTGGAAGGAGACAGAGAGGTCTTTCTGTAGGTGTGTCCAGTCAGAATAGATATAGGGTAGCATGGGATGAGCAAAAACGTGAAAGAGTACAGCTGAACCCCAGAACTGCTATTAGCCTCTTTGACATGAGAGATTTCTGGTGCCACACCTAAGGTGAGCTTTCACCTTCCCTAGACGTAGTCACCTCTATCTGCAGAGTATGACTGGGTTCTAGGTCTAGAGCCAGAGGGTCGAGGGTAGGATGGGGCAGTCCGACAGGGAGGAGCTGAGGGGAAAGGTTAGGGGGCCAGGGACAATCTCTCAGAGAAGCTAGGATCCCAGAGAGGAGAGGGCAGGAGAAAGGCACTACAGATATATGGAAGAGCAGAAGCAAAATCATGGCAGCCTTCCTAAAAAGACTACACTCAAGCCACTCCCTGTGCATAGCTGTGAGACTATGGCTAGGCAGGGACTCATGGGTCCAATGATCTTTGCATAGCTTGTCATCCTGATGCCTTGGCCAGGGAGCTTTCAGTTCTGCCAAATACACCAGTAACCACTCCATTAGATTTCACAATGGTGACTATCATCCTGGTCCCGTCCACTCTCATCTCCACGTGGACATTGCAGCAGCCTCCTTGCTGGCTTTGTGATCCTGCCCTTGCTCCTCACACTGCTGGAGGCGTCCTATAAACACCCAAGTCCAAAAACATCATGTCTATGCTCAAAACCTCCTCATGGTTCCATCTCAATGGGAAAACACTCAAGTCCTAACTGTGATCCCTCCTTTCTTCCCTGACCTATCTCTTCTCACTCTCCCCCTGCTCATTCTGTTTTAGCCACACAGGCCTCCTTACAGCTCCTCTTGCCTCCTTTAGGGCATTGCCATGGCTGATCCCATCCCAGCTCTCCTCCAAATCACCCTTCATCACTTAGCTCTTTGCTTAGAAACTTGCCCTAGCCACACCTCATTGTCTCTTCCTTTATTATACTAATCTCTAGTGGAGATTATTTTAGCTCATTGTTTGTCTATTTCCCCAGTGAAATGAATCGATTGAAAACAAAAACAAAAACAAAAACACAACAACACCCCACACAAGTAGTCTTTTCACCACTGTATCCCTTGCAACAAGAGGAGGGTCATAATAGTTGTCGAATGAATAGAAGAGACACCCTTCTGCCCTTCGAGCAGGTTTTCAGATTCTACTGAAGATTATCCAAAAATGATTAGAACAGCACATCAGCAGAGAAATTCCAGAAGTCCAGGCTGGGTTTAGAAGGGGTTGTGGTACTAGGGATATTGTTGCTGATGTCAGATGGATCTTGGCTGAAAGCAGAGAATACCAGAAGAATGTCTATCTGTGTTTCCTTGATTATGCAAAGGCATTTGACTGTGTGGATCATAACAAACTGTGGCTGACTCTGAGAAGAAAGGGAATCCCAGAACATTTAATTGTGCTAATGCGAAACCTATACTTGGACAAAGAGGCAGTAGTCAGAACAGAGCAGGGTAACACTGCATGGTTCAAAATTGGGGAGGGTGTATGCCAGGGATGCATCCTGTCTCCATACCTTTTCAACATGTATGCAGAGCAGATTATCTGAGAGGCTGGGCTCTATGAGGAGAATTGTGGCATCAGGATTGGTGGAAGATCTATTAACAATCTGCGTTATGCAGATGACACAACCCTGCTTGCTGAAACTGAGGAGGACCTCATGCACTTGCTGCGAAGGGTCAAGGACTGCAGCCTTCAGTATGGACTGAGGCTCAATGTCAAGAAGACAACGATTCTCACCACTGGACCAATTGGCAGCATCAGGATGGATAACAAAGAGATTGAGAGTGTTCACAGCTTCCGTTTGCTCGGCTCCACAGTCAACACTCTTGGCACCAGCAGTCAGGAAATCAAAAAGCGTATCGCGATGGGAAAGTCTGCTATTAGGGACCTCTCTAAAGTACTCAGAAGCAACAGTGTCTCTCTGGAGACTAAGGTGCGCCTGATACAGGCCATGGTCTTTGCAAACGCTTGTTATGCATCAGAGAGTTGGACAATGACCAGGGAGGACAGAAGGAGAGTGGATGCTTTTGAGCTGTGGTGCTGGAGAAGGGTACTGAATGTACCCTGGACTGCCAGGAAAACAAACAGATTCATCTTGGAGAGGATTAAACCAAGCTACTCCTTGGAGGCAAGGATTCTGGGGCTTTGTCTGACATACTTTGGACATGTTGCCAGGAGGGACGGGTCCTTGGAGAGGGACATCATGCTTGGGAGGGTTGAGGGACAACGCAGGAGGGGAAGACCCTCTATGAGATGGATTGATTCGGTGACTGGGGTAATCGGGATGGGTGTGTCAGAGGCAGTGCGGTTGGCGCAGGATAGAGCAGGGTTTAGGGCTGTTGTGCATAGGGTCGCTTTGAGTCGCAAACGACTCGACGGCACACAACAACAACAAGAACATATCAATCCCATAGGAGGAGATTACCTAACTATCCACCAGACGTGCTAGATTCAAACTGACAGAGTAACTCCTTATTCACTAGGCAACTAGTTGATGTGGCTAAGTACCATCCAGTTGGAACCGACCCACGGCTGATCCTCTAGCAGGTTTTCAGAGGCAATGAATCACACAGGAGGTGATTGCCCATCTTGTATTTGCAGTGCAACTCCTTACCAGTAAGCTACCAGAGCGCCCTTGAATGTTAGAGATGGGCAAACAGAGGCCCTTGAATGTTAGAGATGGGCAAACAGAGGCTCACAGAAAGATCCCACTGTACCCACTTACCCTTCCCTGGCAGAAGTAGCCGATCTTCAGGTAGTAAGGGAAGCCCATGTACTTCTGCAAAAGTTTGCAACATCCAGGGTCAAGGGGAAGAAGGGATTCAGTACCCCTCCCGCTGACCTGAGCCAGGTGCCTTCACCTCATTCAGGTCAACTGGCGCATCCTCTAGCCTTCTGAACACACTTTCCACTGTGTCCACAGGTTCTTGATGAAAGAAGCGGTCAATCGCTTTCTTCCGGCCTACTTTCTCAAACTTGTTCAATGCCACGTGCCAGGCACACTCCTTTTCCTCTACCGCCCATAACCTCCACGGCACCAACAGCACTGTCAGGAGAGCCCGCAGCACTTGCTGGGCAGGAGCCATGGGGAACATGGCTAGACGGGATGCAGTGTGGCTGGAATCTGGAGAACCTGGGGGGGGTGTTGGTCAACGCCCGGACACAAGGTAAAGTTTGGGAGTCTTTCTGAAACCTGGTCAAGACCCTGCGCTTCGCTCCGCCCCTACTCCTGATCCTGCTCCTGGCCCCGCCTCTGCTCTTGCTCTTGGCTCCGCCCCAGCTCCTGTTCCGGGTTATCCGGCTCTTCAGCCCACCTCGCGTTCTCGCTTTGGCCACGCCCACTCTTTTGCTATTCCGACAAGGTTGCCCTACTGGCTTCTAGACTTTCCTCGGTCCCCTCTCGGCTTCCTGCTTTTTCCTTGCTTTGGTCTGCGTCTCAAACCTGGTGCCCCTCTATTTTGGTCTTCTCCTATCTCTCTTGACTCGCTTCTTCCCCGGTCCGGGTCCCTGTTTTCTCCCGGCTTCTCTCCTTATTTGGCTCCCGCTCCTTACCCCACTCCCTTTCCTCTTGCCGGGCTTTCCCCTCGACCTTCAGGATCTGGCCTTCGCCCCGCCCCTCCTCGTTCGGAGTGACGCTCCCTCGCCAGGTCCCTTCTCGCCCCGCACTTTCACAGCAGCTTGTCATCTGTTTTCTCCTGCACCTTCCTGTCTCGAGCCCTCTCCTCAAATTTCACTCTCTCCTTTCATGCCCCTTTTCACTCCATGCTTCCTCCACTTTAGCTTTCTCACTCTGTACCTCCAGATCACTGTCCCTTTCTTCAGCCCGAGACTTAGATTTTCGCTCTCCCATTCACCCTGCGCCCTCTCCTCACCCTGCAGCAATGGTGCTGACATTTCAGTGTTGTCTTCGGAATCCTCACCATTTTCACCAGCCGTGGCATCTCAGACTGCCCTGTCTCCACTGCCATGCCTCCCGTTCCGTGCCCATTCTACCAGCTCGACGCCTCGCCTCTTCTAGCCCGGTCGTATCTCATCACGCTGCTAAGCTCGGCTCCGCCCTGTGTCCTGTCTTGGTCCCTCTCCCTCTCTTTTGCTCCTTTCCACAACTCTTCCCCTCCGGGCCCCCCCTCAGTTCTCCCCCTGGCACCCCCCACTGGCCCCCAGGCACCACCCTCTTCTTCTCGCCCACCCCGGTACCTGTCGGTGGTTAAAATTGATCAACCGGCGGTTGGCCTCTCTGGTCCCGCCCCCTTGCCCGACTTCAAAATGGCCGCCCACACCTCCGTAACCGACTTCCTTCCTAGGCTTCGCTTGCCTGGATCCAGTGTAACCCCTCCCCCCTCCAAAGATCTTGAAAGTAGGCGAGTTCAAGCACATCAGCGGGTCTGCCTTGACCTGTAGAAGGTGCTAGAGACCCTATAATATGATAGAACCAGGGTTTCGAGCAGATTCATGAATAAATTAAATGACAGAAACAGGACATAGAGAACCACCAGAAATACAAGGAGGTTTAGGAGAGGCCGTGGCACTAAGGGGCGGATCTTGTCTGATATCGGAGAGTACCAGAGAAACGTCTGGAGGAAGAATGTTGCCGTTTCCCCAGGACTGACTTCAGGAAACCTGATAATGTCTGTAAGAATCAAACCTCAGCTTATGCTAAAGTGCAGCTACCTCTGCCCCTCCTTCCCCCTCCTTCTGCCTGCGTGGCTACCTAATCTCATATAGAGGCAAAATGTTCTTCTTTGTAAAGGCACTGAAAAAAACTTACCCGCATTCCTATACCTAAAGGTAACTCCTCACCAATCAGACCCCCAACAAGTCTCCAGGCTAGCCCCCTGTGCAATGGTCAACAAATAGAATGCAAGCCATTATACCAGCTGCTCTAAATAGCCAACCGTAGCTCAATTAGTTAGAAAAAGAATCAAAAAAGGTATAAAAGGAAGAGTTGGCTTTGTCTCGGGGCTCTCTCTCACATGGATGCTGCTGTTTCAGTCCATGAGGGCCCCAGTTCGAACTTGGAATAAACTCAGTTAATTTGGCTAACTGGCCCGGTGATCTTTTTGGGGATTTGCTCCGTTACAATGTCCATCTTCTGTTAAAATAACTACAGGAGCAGATCCTGACAAGGCCCTGGGCTTGATCACACATTGACAGGACCCCTGCCCCCAAATTCCTGAGCCAACTACCATTCCCTCTAAATATCCCTAACAGCTCCTATAAAAAGAAACTGTCTTTGCCTGCCTAACCTTCTCTGTCCACACAGTCACTTGGCATCCCTCTCAGGTCTGCTAATAAAGGCCTGTTCACAACTTGGAACCAGCCTCTTTCTCTCACTCTCAACTCTTTTTTTCTTATCAAGTATATAGTTACAACGTCATTGTATCAAAAAGAATTAGCTGACACAGAAGAATTTCAAGAAACACCATATGATCAAGAGGCAATGGTGATGAAGGCTGCTCTGAAGGACTTGGCAAAAAATAAAGCCCCAGGAATTGGTGGAATACCAATTGACATATTTCAACAAACAGTGCTGCCTTGGATGTGCTTACCAACTTGTGCCAAAAAATCTGGAGGACAGCTACTTGGCCGGCTGACTGGGAAAGATCCACATTTATTCCCATTCCAAAAAAAGGTGATCTGACTCTGGAAATTACTGAACAATATCATTAATACCACACACTAGCAAAATCCTGCTGAAGATCACTCAGATCAGAAACAACTGCAACAGTAGATTGACAGAGAACTACCAGAAATACAAGCTGGGTTTAGAAGAGGTCATGGCACTAGAGACATTATCTCTAATGTTAGATGGATCTTGGCAGAAACTAAAGAGTATCAGAGGAATCTCTATCTGTGTTTCATTGACTATACACAGGCATTTGGCTGTGTGGATCATAACAAATTGTGGCTAACCTTGAGGAAAATGGGAATCCCAGAACACTTGATTGTGCTTATGTGAAACCTATAGTTGGGTCAGGAAGCAGTCCTCAGAACAGAGCAGGGAAACATTTTATAGTTCAAAATCAGAAAAGGAGAGCATCAGCAATGCATCCTGTAGCCATACCTTTTCAATCTATATGCAGAACTGTTGTCAGCTGAGGATAAAAAAGGAGACAGAGACATCAAGGAAGGAGAAAAACAGCAAAAAGGCAGAGGACAAACAGCTTGAAGACTAAAGCCCCCAAACTAGTTTCCCTGTAACTTTATTGAAAATTGCCTGGGAACAAATCTCAAAGAGAATTCTATGCAAATGAAGCGAAGCCCTTTCTATTGATAACCTTATGCTTGTATCAGGAAGGAGGGATTTGTAAATACAATCTAAGAATTGAAAAGGTGCCGTTAGGTCTATTGATACTTTTTCAGGCTTTCAATGAGCCATTGCTCTATCAGGAGAAAAATCAGAATATGTAATTCAACATTTAATTGAAACTTTTAATGTTATGGGTCTTCCATCAAGTATTAAAACTGACAATGTTCCTGCTTATAATTCTAAGAAAGTACAAGAATTTTTTTAAAAAATGGAACATTAAACATATTATTGGTATTCCTTATAACACCAAGGACAAGCTATAATAGAAAGTTCTAATTTGACTTTACAAACTATGTTGAAAAACAAAAGGGAGGAGATGGGATAGGATGAACATCATCTAGAACTATTTTCAAAAAGAGTCTTATTTACTCTAAATTTTTTTAAATGCTAATGAAAAAGGAGAAACTCCAGCTGAAATACATTGGGTATTACAATCATCTAACGAATTGAATCAGCCTATACATTTTACAGAACCTTTAACTAATGAATGGAAAAAAGGATTTGTCATTCATTAGGGTCAAGGATTTGCTTATATTTCCACAAGCACAGAAACACAGTGGTACCGTCCAGAGACAAGAAACCCCGTGATGAGCCAAAAGAAGCCATACTTCAACAAGGATGGAGTTGCAGAATGGATAAGGAATGGGAGATAATACCAGCTGATGCCACAGCTGCTACAGCTACTGTGACTTTATATCAAAGTATTCAAACTGTAGATTATGTGAAAACATGACATCAAGATTCTAAAAAGTTATGGTCTTCTCAACAACAAATAAAATGTGATTGGTATACTATGCAGTTTTCTGTTACTCCAGTAAAGTGGAATGATACAGAATGGAATTGGGATAAGATTAAGCAGTAATAGCGATAATTCCCAAAATTGCTGTAATGAAATTCCAATTATTCTTTTCCCTTTTTAAAAATAATTGGGTTACCAAATGTTTTAAAATCATACTTTCAGGGGATGATAAAATAATAGATGAATTTAAACAAATAACAATATAAACAATATAATGTCAAAGGTGTAAATTCACATCCAGTTGAACCTTTCAAAAATACATAAGGTGATGAAACACAAGCTTAAATATAATTGGTTTCATTTCTTTTAAATCTAACCTAGTAACATTGTTATAAATAGATACAGGAGCATCAAACCAATGAATTACTTTCAATAAGTGAGGATGGAAAAATTATTGTGAATAAATAGGCTGAGTCAATTCTTTAGATTATTGTAATGTATTTCAGCTGGAGTTTCTCCTTTTTCATTAGCATTTAAAAAATTTAGAGTATATAAAGCTTTTTGAAAATAGTTCAAGGAGATGAGATTCATTCTATCCCATCTCCTCCCTTTTGTTATTTCAACATAGTTTATAAAGTCAAATTAGAACTTTCTATTAGTAGCTTATCCTTGGTGTTATAAGGAATACCAGTAATATGTTTAATGTTCCATTTTTTAAAAAAAAATTATTTTTATTTCATTAATTTTAATGAACATTTACAGAGATTTTGGATTTCCATTCATTCATTGTTGCACTTTTCTCCCTGCCCACTCCTCCCCCCGAATTCGTTATTCTCTTTGAAAAGTAAAAGAAAAATTCCTTGCATTGAAAAACAAGGAACTCATGCAATATTATTCAAAATGGGTGACCCTGGAGGACATTATGCTGAGTGAAAGATCTCAATCACAAAAGGACAAATACTGCATAGTGCCACTGTTGTAAAACAGGACTGACATTGGGGTGGGGGGAGACTGAG